TAAAGCGCACCGGGTTATAAGCCACACTGCCGGTGTTTGATCAAATTTTAGGATTTTCAGTGCGGCTTATAGTCGTGAAAATACGGTAATGACTAATGTACCGCACATTCATCCTGCCGCCAATAAATTGGCCAAGAGCACAATTGCTTTAGTTTTGAGTTCCATAAACTAAGCAACCTTGATATATCGTCTAAGACTGTTGAAGTTAATTTAGTTTAGTCTCAAGCTTGGAGGCAAGGAGGGTTGGAATTGAACTGGAAAGCCAACTTATTTCCTTGTAAACTACTATATATGTTTAACATTTAAGGATGATTTGGACCTTTAACTATCTTAGGAATAGAAAAACCTGCATCAGCCAGGTGAAAATGTGGGTGAGGCTAAAACATACTAGATTTGATTTTATCTAAATTGTGTTAAAGTAATTAAATATAGTTATTGTGACTACTTCTTTTGTATTTAATGCCTATTTCTCCCTTCTGTAGAATTAACAATGTTTAGCAACTTCTGGAAAATCTTTTGTGGTTCACACCCTTCTGTAGAGTCTCTCACATTACTTGCTTGCTTTCAAGTTTCTCTACAGATGAAGATAATGATACAGAAGTGGAGGCAATTGAGGTGGACATGGAATTGAACATTGTCACAGAATGCTGGGTTGAACCTCAAAGCGGCTATGTGGCTGGTGTTCAGGAGAGTTGGCAATACCTACATGGCTTATCCTACCAGAAAATCCCCAAAGCGGTATGTTTTTGTGGTGGGGAGAGGCAACATTTGCAGGGATTTTTGACTGGCAGCCAATCTGCTGTTTTTTGCTGAATTCCTTTTGTTGAAAGGGATTAAGATGGACAGCTTCCTGTATATGGGCAGCAGGCGAAACAATTACCAAAGCAACCTATGCAGCCAAATGATTGGGAAGGTTTTGTCTCAATGAGGAATGAGACGTGGCTTATATTTGTATACTTGGCTCTGAATTATCCTTGCATTGCTGTAGCATTTTGAATGCATTTTTGAAACTTGTTTTGAATCCTTTTGAATAGGTTTTCCAGTCTATTTTATTTCAGATTCCTTTTTCAGATCCATCCTCGAGATCTGTCCTGCATCCATACTGTGCTTGCTTTTGAGTATATCAGTCAACTTTGCCAAAATAAGGACTGGGTTTTCCCAGCATGCGATTCAAGGCCCATTGCGGTTGAAGGTAATTGATTTATTTAATGATTTCTAGACACTCATTTATTAGGTCCTATGGACTTCATCCTGAATATGACTTCTTTTTTGTGTGTGCTGTAGGTCGTGATGCTCGAAGTGGCTCCCGTGTACATGAGATTCCTTTCCAGTTTGACCTCATGAAACTTCTACCAAAATGCCAGCAAATTGAGATGGGTCTTTTGATGCTGACAAGAGGCAAGTTGTGTGTATATGCATCAAGGAAAGGATATTGGTTCATTATTTCTTCCCACCTTTGAAACATATTAAGCAATAATGAAGATGAGCACATCTGTAATGTATGCCATCCCCTTTTTAACATCCCCATCTCACCAACATTTGGCTTTAATAAGAGTTTTCGGTTCAAATGCGTTTCTTCAGCAAACTTGACATTGCTGTCATAATTTGATCTTGTTGAAAATGTAATAATTAGCTTGATGTGAAGATCTCTTACCAGTCAATATTTCTTACTGTGTAATTTCTATTGTGTGAGATTTATTTTTAATTGGGTAGGGAAACTTTAGATGCTGTTTGCCTGTCTAGGCTATCAGATCTATATATTGTGAATTGCTGTGTTTTCCTAGCAGCAGGAGAAAAATTTACTCAGTTTTTATCGTATTGCAGAAAACGATGGAATAATAAAGGATTCTTCCTTCTTGCCCAATGAAATGCTTCTTGGCCTTTTTCATGGCTGTCTCCAGCATGACCTCAGTGACAGGGAAATCACACTATTGGACACAGATCATGTAACTTTCATGGAGCAGGTGCTTCAGCGAGACAGAGATGGCCACCCACCCCCTTTTAAGCTCTCTATGGTCCAAGGTAAGAGAGACAGTAGCTAATTCTTCCTTAAGCTATTCCTCTGATGGTTTCCTCACCAATGTGTTTCTTTCCAGAACTCCCAAAGGCTTCCATTCCTTCTGAATGCCAGAATCTGAAAAATACCTACCACCCTTTTGGTAACAAAGATACAGCTACCTCTGCAAGTTCATATCAGGTACAATGATCTTTTGAGCTCAATGTCAACATTCCAAATATGTCACAGAATTTCTAGATCTGTAAACTTCCTTGTTTCTTGCAAGTTGAAATGTGTGTGTGGGGGGGAGCGCTTGGTTGAAGTAATCTAAAATGGGCCCCCAAACCCCGGACTGTGGCCCCTACTGGGCTGTGGCTATTTGCAACCGGGCTGTGTGAGCAGTGGCTCAACTTGTGTGAGGAGGAGGCTGGCACATGTGCACACACGTGCTCAGTTCAATTTGTACAAATTGAACTAGACGCGTACGCACTGGCCCGCGGCTCGCACAGCCCAGTTCCCCCTCCCCCCCCCCTGCTTGGCCATCAAGCTGCAAAGATTGGGGAGATAAGTGAATGGAAGAGTCTGACTTATGTGTAGAAGTCTGGCAGTTCCTTGATGATTTAATGTTCTCCAGCCTGGTCCTCTTCCATCCTATTCAAGATAAACATATTTTAGTTATGGAGGTATCCCAGGTTGGGGAAGGCTATGTATTAGTTGAAAGTGATCCCTTAATTTTTTTCAATGTAATATCTTAGTTTTCATAAAACAGTATATGAGTTCATCTACCGTTAAAGCCTCAGCACAGTATACAAAGTTTTGTAGGCCAGGTTCATATTTCATGCATAATATTAAATCATTTGTAATTTGCAATCTATAGCAACTGAGTTCGTACAATATTAAGCCAAAATGAACCATGATAGCATCATGTGATCTGCGAATGTAGTAGTTAATATGTTCATTATGTAGCAGGGATGAAGAATTGTGACTTTTGCATATTGTTGTACCATAGCTCCGTTCAGCAACAAATAGAACTGCTGCCGTATTTTTCAGAGTATAAGACGCACCTTTTTTCCTCAAAAAAGAGGCTGAAATCTGGGTGCATCTTATACATCGAATACAAATTTTTTTTGCCTCCCGAAGCCCTGCCCCTTCACCAAAATGGTCGTGCATAGCCTTATGGAGGCTTTCAGAGAGCTCCTGGGAGCTGGGGAGGGCAGAAATGAGCAAAAAATGGGCCCACCCACCCCCAGTCCCCAGCAGCACTCTATAAGCCTCCATAAGGTTATGCATGCAATTTGTTTGACAAAAAAACAGCCACTTTTCACAAAAAACGGGCCAGTTTTTGCTCTTTTTTCCCCACCCCACCCTCCAGGAGCACTCTGCAAGCCCCCCCCCCAAGGCTATTCATGCCTTTTATTTGAAAAACAGGGGCCCGTTTTCATGAAAAACAGGCCATTTGGGGGAGGTTTGCAGAGTGCAACCCCCCCCCCCTTTCGGAAAGTTCTTTAGTTAGAGTGATTGATGAGAATTACATTGATCAAGTGCTGTGCCAGCAGAAACAAGTGTTA